GGAATCACAAATCAAGGAATATGTGCTTCTGACTACCTGGGCAAAGTATGAGGCTTGCAAACAGATGAAATGAAAGAATATCTTGGAATTAGGGGAAAATCTTGAGAAAGAGGTTACCCTGTAGAAATGTTTATAACTAACCCCATCTAGTTATAATTCACTGGATTCTGCCTATAAGCAACATCTGACTGCCTTGATTAAAAACCTTCAGTAACTCTTTACTTCTCCAAACCAAAGTTTCTGGATCTTGGCACAAATGGCACTTTTTGCTGGCTGTCCTGTGCACTGTGAGACATTTAGCAGCATCCCTGGCTCCTACCCATGGATACCTGCAACACCCCTCTGAATTGTGACTACTAAAAATGTATCCAGACATTGCCAAATGTGCCCCCGGGGGCAAAACCATCCCTAGCCCAGAAGCACTGCTATAAACTATGGCTGGCAAACATTTGCTATAAACTATTTAAAATACATTATTATTGCCCTGGCCGGTTTGGCTCAGCGGTTAGAGCGTCGGCCTGCGGTCCGGAGAGACCCTGGTTCAGTTCCCGCTAAGGGCACGTACTTCGGTTGCAGTTTGTCCCCGGCCCTGGTTGGTCGTGTGGGTGGCAGCCACTCGATGTGTCCCTTCACGTTGATGTTTCTCTCTCTCTCTCCCTTCCTCTCTCTCCCTCCCACTCTATCTGTACAAAAAAAATGGAAAAATATCCTCGGGTGAGGATTAAAAAAAAAAAATAAATAAATAAAATAAAATATATTATTATTATTATTATTGATTTTTTAGAGAGAAAAGAAAGAGACAGAAATATCAATTGGCTGCCTCCTACACAACCCCTACTGGGAATCGAGCCCACAGCCTGGGCATGTGGCCTTACTGGAATTGAACCGGGACCTCTCAGTCCATAAAACAATGCTCCTTACAACATATGTGTACATTTCCTACTTCCCTCTCTTTGCTCCTATTGTTATATATTTTCTACTTAATACAGTAGTCTTGTGTTAATGTAACTGTTAAAGAGTTGAGTATATGAAATAGTCAGTTTTTTTTTTATTGTTTTCAGTTCCTTAAAGATACTGTCCCACTGTCTTCTGGCAGTAAGTACTGTTTCTGATGAGAAGTCTGTCTTTATTCGTAACTTTGTGTCTTTATCTGATAAGTCTGTCTTTATTTGTAACTTTGTGCTTTTCTGATGAGAAGCTTCTCTTTATTCATAACTTTGTGTCTTTATTCTGATGAGAAGTCTCTCTTCGTGACTTTGTGCTTTTCTGATGAGAAGTCTCTCTTTATTCATAACTTTGTGTGTTTTTCTGATGAGAAGTCTGTCTTTATTCATAGCTTTGTGCTGTTTCTGATGAGAAGTCTATCTTTATTCGTAATTTTGTGTCTTTTTCTCTGGTTTTAAGGCACTTTGAAAATCATAATAATTTGGTATGTTTTTCATATTTCTTATGTTTGGAGTTTACTGAGCTTGGACATGTGGATTTATCATTTTCATCAAACTTGAAAAGTGACTGGACTTCATTTCTTTATATCTAAATGTTTTGTGCCTCCCTAGTCCTTTGGGGATTGAAATTGGACATATACTGATCTGCTTGAAGTTTTTGTCTTTTGTGTGTGTGTGTGTTTCATTTTGGATAATTTCTATGACCACGTTTTCAAGATCATCAATTTTTTCTATATCTAATGTGCTATTCATCCCTTATAGTGTAGTTTTTATCTCTCACATTATAGTTTTAATCTTGTTTGATTTGAAATCTTTTCAAATATCTTTCCTCTACCTTCTTGAAAATATGAATATAGTTATAACAACTTTTAGTAACCTACTTAGCAATCATGTCAGTTGAACCATTTTTGGATTGATCTCAATAGATGGAATTTTGTTATCATTTTGGGCCGACTCTTCCTGCTTGTGTGCCTGGTAAGCTTTCACTGGATTCTCAAGCACTGTGAGGTGTTCTCGGACATGGTTAAATCACTGCATGTGGTGTTCTTTCAGAAAGGCTTATTTAGTTTGGTGACATGGGATCAGAACAGCTGTTGGTTTAGGGTGAGAGGTTTCTCTGCTGAGCCAGTGTGCTGAGAACTCTGCCTGATACGCTGGGAAGTACCGGTTTCCCTTCTGACTGGTGGGCACGCAAACTCTGCCCCGCCTATCCATGCCTCAGGGACTTTCCCTTCATGGTAGTTGTTTCTCTAGTGTCGAGGAGTTTACTCATACCAGTGTGCTCCTCAGCATTCGGTGAGAACTTGGGGTCTCTGGAAGGCTTTCTCTGGAAGCTCTTACCGCTGTGTGCTCTACCCTGAAACCGTCTTTTCAATGAAAGGAGGCTGTGGGGCTCAGCCTGGGCCCCCTCCCTGGGCTGCAGTCTAGGAAGGGACTACCTCCAGGCAGTAAGCAGGGGCTCACTTTGGACTTTGCCCCTTCTCTCGGCAGTCCCTGTCTTCTGCTGTTCCATGGCTAATGTTTCAAAATGTTGTATTAGATATTTTGTCCAGTTTTCAGATGTTTTAGGTGGGAAGGTATATGTGGTCTGATACTCCATCGTGACTGGAAGAAAGTCAGATTTGATAAGTTTAATTACAAAAGTGGTGTAATGGCTGATGGGTTCTCCAGGAAGTAACCCGGAACCAACCTTCAGCTTCTCCTGCAGTTGCTACTTCACAGATGCACTCTTGTTACTAGTTGTCCAACTGGCAAGAAGCCTGGTAATGCTAGAATAACCCCTCCACAAAAGAGAACTCATGTTCTTAACCTCTAGGTGATGGCAGAATGTCAAAAATATGCCACTGAATGACATTTGCACCCAGGCAAAGAACCCAGGGTGGCAACCCTGTGTTTGCTATAATCATTATAATCATTCTACTGAGAGAAGATCACAGTATTTGGCTGGACATGACAATGGTCACCCCCACTTTGTATACATGTGAGAGGCAGGCAATGTGATAGAGAAGGCCTGCTTTGCCCCAGGGCACAGTCTTGCATTCGGATGACCTTGGGGTCCATCACCACAGCTTTCGCAGGCGCTTTGAAGCAGACCTGGAAGACAGGAGCATCTAAATGTCGGCAGGTCACTGTCATACAGGAAGGCTGAGGCATGGGCTTGGAGGGTCTCCTGGACCTTTCCAAAGGTCCCAACAAGATTGCTGGTTGACAGACTCTGTGGCCACTATTGGCCCTCTGAACCTTCAAAGTCCCTCCGTTGCAGTCTGAAGCTTCCTCTCTGGACGCAACATCACCTTGAACCTTTGCCATCCCTGCCCATCACCAGCCAGAGTGCTGTTCGCTGAAATACAGCAGTTTTGTTCTGGCTGACAGAGATGATCAAGGCAGGTCTGTGAGGAGCAGGGTAAATTTCCTCCCTGAACAAAGCTGCCACTTCAAGGATCCTCCGCCCTGAGGATCACTGAGATTTCAGACCCTGCTCCGTACACCCTGGCTGTGTGGACAGGGCAGTGATCTCAGAGCACTGACAAAGAGGGAGCTGGGCAAGAGCAGCAAAAGAAGACCTGCCAGGCAGCGGTGAGGACAGGGACACCGGCTCTACACTCAGACGGGTGACGGACCCTGTACGAACCTTCTGGTGAAGAACTGACTGCGGTGCTCCGGCCAGTTTGGTTCAGCGGTTAGAGCGTCGGCTTGCGGTCCGGAGAGACCTGGGTTCAGTTCCTGCTAAGGGCACGTACCTCGGTTGCAGTTTGTCCCCGGCCCTAGTTGGGTCATGCCGGTGGCAACCACTCGATGTGTCCCTTTCACATCGAAGTTTGTCTCTCTCTCCCTCCCACTCTATCTGAACAAAAAAAATGGAAAAATGTCCTCAAGTGAGGGGGAAAAAAAATCTTAAAAAAAAACAAAACTGACTGCAGGTCAGAGCACACAGCCAGGTGGTTCTTCAACAAAGCCTCCCTGTGATCGCCTTTGAAGGGTTTCTCTTTACCTGTCCTTATACCTGACTTCAGAGAGCCTGGACCATCCTGTCTGATGACAGTGCTACCATCACAAGTGGTCTTTCCCACCACGAGCACTGAAGTGTTTTTCAGATATGTTTTCCAGCTCTGCCCGGTGCAGGGCCCTGTGCTGCTCTGAGACCAGTCGATTAAGAGCCACTCTCTGTCCCTCTTACCTCTTTATAATTGATGCTAGTCTACTGTTATTTATGTTTTAAATCCTCACCCGAGGATATTTTTCTATTTATCTTCAGATAGAGTGGGAGGAAGAGAGAGAGAAAGACATCGATGTGAGAGAGACACATTGGCTGGTTGCCTCCTGCATGACCCCGGCCAGGGCTGGGGGCCAAAACACAACCAAGGTATGTGCCTTTGACCAGAACCGAACCCACAACTCCTTGGTCTGCAGGCTGACACTCTAATAACCACTTAGCCAAACTGGCCAGGGCTACTGTTATTTTTATATAGTGCAATGATGTCACCTCCCCCAACAAAGAAAATGATAAAGGTAGAGAACAGAGAATAAAATAGACAAGCTGGGAGAATGCAGATAACGTCAGTCACAAAGTGACTTGGCAGACAGGTGGCAGGAAACCTCCTGAGCAACCTCTGAAAGCTGACAACACAGAGGTCCAGGGAAGGGCCAGCAAACCTAGGCCCAGGCACCAAGTCCGGCGCCATTGAGGGGGACAGCATTTCACTGGTGCAGTCACACCTACCCGGGTGCAAGCGTCTGCTTTTGTGTTGCCTGGGGCCCAGTGGGGGTTAGAACAGAGAACATGCGACCTGTAAAGCCTAAGGTGTTTACCATCTGGTGCTCCATAAACAAGCCTACTCACACCTAGTCTGCAGGTAAAGATACTAGAAGTTCTTCGATTCTGACAGAAAAATTCTAAATTCTGATTTGGCAGTGATACTATGGCATAGAGCCCAGATAGCATATGTGTTACTTCTCAAAGACTTGCTGCTGAAGAGTACAGGCCATTATTGGCCGGTTTTCAGAGGTAACAATTTGGTCACCATTAACTCAGAAATTGTTTCTTTCTCATTCTAGAAACTAAATGGTGAAAAAGCAAACATGAAGTGTGGAAGTTTGTTTTGTGTTTTTCTGTTTATCGTTCTTCAAATGGACTTTGGACAAAATGATGAAACCCCCAGGAAGCAAAGGAGGAAGATGTATTATAGACTGAAGAAAAGTTCCTCACCCAACCACAGATCCAGTAGACAGCTTGGAGCCCAGCGAACGGTGGTGGTGACACCAGCAGCCACACATCCCATGGTTAACTTTGATTACAGCTCGGAGGAGAAGTTTGAATCCTTTCTAGGTTTTCCTGGCATAGAATCAAGCTACAATGTGCTACAAGGTAAGAAAACAGTTCTAGAGAGAGAGGAAGAAAAAAGGAACCTCCACGAAGATAATTTTAAAAATTAAACTTATCTTTTGGCTTAATCTACAAAGATAAATTTTCAATTAATTTTTTAAAACATTCATAGAACCCACTTATAAAATTATTATAAAACAGACAAAATACTTAAGTTAGACTACAAGTGTACTTATTAAACCATAGTTACTATTTTGTTTTATTTCTTTGTAGCCTGTTTACTATGTCATGTATTTTAAATAGCTGTAATCATAACAGATAATATACATATAAATTCGTAAACTTCAGTTTCACTTATAATGATATATCATCTAAGATACAGAAATAAACAATTCAGATAATTCTACAACACATGGCTATTAAATATTTTCAATAAAATTTTTTTCAACAGAAAATGGAGTTAAGCTATTTTACTTCATGTAAACTAGATTACTGAATTTTTAAAAGTTAAAAAGATTGGAAATTCTGCCAAATATTCCAACAAGGCATTTGTAAGAACTACTATTTAGTTGTCCACATGTACACAGATGTGGAATACAAAAGCAATTATATTATATATATGTTACCATTACATAAAACTTTTGAAAGACAAAAGAAAATATCACCACATAATATTCTGTGCCCAATACTTCATATACTGTCTCAAGAAAACCAAATGCTTCTATATGGTATTTCTATAAATTTAACAGAAATAACATAACATTTCCATGAAAATATATAACTTAGATCACATTTTCAGCATGATTGGGAGAAAAGTCAGGGAAATCTAAAAAGGTATAATAATACTGTATCTCCCAACTGCTAAAGCATGAGGAGGTCAGTTTCCCTAGTTAAGAGGCAAGATACGCAAGCTATAGAAAATAAAAAGATTGAAAGTATTAGACATATTGTGACCTCAAATCTGTTTAAAAATATATAATACAGATAAGTTTGCATAAAAGTGCACAGATGTACACTAAACATTTCTCAATTGTCCTAAAATGTCTTCTAGTGGTCTTACGGCATTAAAAAAACAAACAAACAAACAAACAAACAAAAACTGTAGCTAAATACAAATAATATAAAACTTACCATTTCAATATTATAAAGTGAATAATTCAGTGGTATTGTGTAACAATGATCGTATCTAGTTTCTAACCAAAAGGAAACTCCCCATTTCTCCCTAACCTTCCCTCCCGCCCCCTTGGAAGCTACTAATCTCTCCTTAACGTTTCCTTATTCTGGATACCTCATACAAAAGGAGTTATACAACATGCAGCCTTCTGTGCCTGGCTTCTTTCACTCAGTATAATGATTTCAAGGTTCGTCCATGTAGCATGTTGTCAGTACTTCACCCCTATTATATAGCTAGACCACATTTTGGTTATTCATTCATCTGATGATGAACATTTGGGCTGTTTCTAACTTCTGGCCACTGTGAACAGCACAGCCATGAATGCTTGTGATCAAGTTTCTATTTGAACTCCAGTTTCCAGTCTTCTTGGGTATATGCCTACAAGTGGAATATGGGGTACTTAGGAGCTGGGCCATATGGCAATTCTGTTAAATCTATTGAGGAACCACCAAATGTTTTCCACAAAGGTGACACACACCATTTTACATACCCACCAGCAATGTTCTAGATTCCAATTTCTCTGTATCCTGGTCAACATTTGTTATTTTCCGTGTTTAAAAATATAGCCATTCTTGTGGATGTGAAGTGGTATCTTACTGTGTATTTCTCTAATGATGAATGATACTGAACATCTGTTTAGGTGCTTGTCGTCCATTTATATCTTCTTCTGAGAACCGTCTCCGCAAGACTTTTGCCCATTTTTAATTGGGTTGTCTTCTGTTGTTGTTATAAGAGATCTTTATGTATACTGTGGATATTAGGCCTTTATAAGATATGATTCGTAAATATTCTCTCGCCTTGTATACGCTGTCCTTTTACTTTCTTGATCATGTCCTTTGATACATCAACATTTTAATATTGATAAAGTCCAATTTATCTATTTTTTGTTGCTTGTGCTTTTGTAATCATATCTAAAAATCCAAGGTCACGGAGATTTATAACTATGTGTTCTTCTGAATATTATAGTTTTAGCTTTATTTTATTTTATTTTATTAAATATTTTTATTGATTAATTTTGTTACAGATGTTTCTCCTTTTTTCCCCCCACTGATTCCCCCCTCGCCCTCCCTCCCTGCCCCTTCCCCAGATTGTTGTCCATGTCCACTGTTCATGCATACATGCGTGTAAGTTCTGTGGTTCATCCCTCCCCCACCTCCCCACTTTTTAGGGGATTGTCAGTCTGTACCCCACTTCCGCGTCTCTGGGACTACCCCATTCCTCAAACTGTTATGTTCATTATATTCCACAAATAAGTGAGATCATATGAAATTTGTCTTTCTCTGTTTGGCTTGTTTCACTTAGGATGATACTTTCAAGGTCCCTCCATGTAGTCTCAAAGGATAAGAGATCTTTCTTTCTTACCGCTGCGTAGTACTCCATTGTGTATATGTACTACAGCTTTTTGATCCATTCGTCTACTGATGGACACTTGGGCTGTTTCCATACAAATGGCTAAGAAACATATGAAGAAATGCTCATCATCACAAATCATCAGAGAGATGCAAATCAAAACAACAATGAGGTATCACCTCAAACCTGTCAGAATGACCACCGTCAACAAATCATCAAACAACAAGTGTTGGCGAGGGTGTGGAGAAAAGGGGACTCTAGTGCACTGCTGGTGGGAATGCAGATTGGTGCAGCCACTATGGAAAACAATATGGTGTCACCTCAAAAAATTAAAAATTGATCTTCCATCTGACCCAGTGATCCTACTTCTAGGAATATACCCTAAGAAGCATAAAACACCAATCACAAAGAATATATGTACCCCCATGTTTGTAGCAGCACTATTTACAATCGCTAAGATCTGGAAACAGCCCAAGTGTCCATCAGTAGTTTTAGCTTTTATATTTAGGTTTTTGATCCATTTTGAGTTAATTCTTACATGGGGTATGCGGTAGGAGACCACTTCATTCTTTTGCATGTGGACATCCAATTGTCCCAGCACCATCTGCTGAAGAGACTATTTTTTTCCCTACTTGGCACTCTTGTCAAAAATCATTTGGCCATAGGTATAAATTTATTTCTGGACCCTCAGTGTTCCATTGGTCTATATGTTTATCCTTACACCACACTGCCACAAGCTGATTATTGTAGTTTTATAGTAACTTTTGAAATTTCTAAGAGTGAGTTCTCCATTTCCCCCACAAGATTTTTTTTTGGCTATCCAGGGCCCTTTGTAATTCCATATGAATCTGAAAATCATCTTTTCCATTTCTGAAAAAAAAAGGCTCTTGGAATTTTGATAGAATATAGTACTTTGCTAATCAGGAAGCAACTTACATGAACCTATTTTTTTCTATGGGAGGAACTGAATGGGTGGGATCAGTCTACTCCAAGTGTCCAAATGAGAGCTGGGTGGGGCTGGATGGTCAGTGGTGAAGGAAAGGACAGGACCCATGTGAGAGCTCATTTCAGGGTGTAATTTGGGGACAGTGGTGAGTTACTAGATTGAGAGTTATTAGGAATGACTCTAGGGTCAGAAGAAAAATATTCCCTCTAACATTTGAATCAGCAAATGGCTTAGCTGACATATCCACATATCCACTGCTGCATAACGTAGCCATCCTGACAGATACAGAACAAAAGCATGATTCAAAGTCAAGTTACCATGAAGAGGTCACTGCAGAACCTAAGTGAGAGAGGCTGAGAGGGAAGCACATGAAAGGCCTTTCAAAGGGCCACATGTACAGGGCGTCCCACCCTCAGCGTGAATGCACACAGAATGCTCTTCTAGTGGGTCCCGATTCTATCCACAGTGCTGGTAACTGACATGTCTCACGTTCTCTCCAGGAAAGAAGGGACACTGCGTGGTGAATGGAATGACCATGTACCACACAGCCATGTGGTCCCCTGAGCCCTGCACCACCTGCCTCTGCTCAAACGGAAGGGTGCTCTGTGACGAAACCCTGTGCCAGCCTCAGACCTGCCCGCGGACAGTTACGCCTGAGGGAGAATGCTGCCCAGTCTGCTCTGATACCGGTACAAATATTTAGCCAAAACAAAATTTCACAAGTCCTTAACTTCCACTTGTTTTTATTTCTACAAATGATAAACTAGACATCAGAGTACTTAAGATATTGGCACAATTATGATAAACACAGAACTTCCTTGGGGAATGTATGCTGGGGGACAGACATAAAAGATGTTGGCGGCACAGTTCTAGCTCTAGCAGAATGAGCAAACCTGCACCAGATCACATCCCACACTGGACTCCAAACTTTGGAAACACAGTGGTAGAGCTTACAGCCGCCAGCAGCCCTGTGCTGTCGGTATGCATAAGGGCTCTGCTGAGTTCCCTGCATGCATCGCTTCACTTATCCAACTCGATGTAGGCATGACTATTACCCCAAAGGAAGACGAAGAGCTCATGGTAGACAAAGGGAGAGACGGTTTGCATCTAGAGAGAAGAGAACCCCCCTCTCCAGTCTGTCTGGAGCAGAGCCGAGCTCTTGTGGGACCGCTGTGCACAGGAAGATCACACTGCGAGGTCTGTGGCTCACGCCTGGTGGGATGGAGTCCTCCGGAGGGAGGCCCAGGCTTCCTCTAAGAGTCTAGCCAATGTCTTATGAAATAAACAAACATGTTAGATGGTTGATAGGAAGGGGCTGGGTTGCTTTTTCTTGTCTGTGATCAAGGTAGGTATCTGCCAGGAAGAACTGTAGAATATTTAGGAATTGTATTTTGGTGGACACTACCAACTATTTTACTAAGGCATTATGACTTTTAAAATGTTAAGAAATAAAACTGTTTAATAAAACTGACTCCTTGGGAATGAGACACAATGGAAAAATTATAATGGAAAAATTCAGAAATTCTCAAACATTTTTCAAAGGAGTTGAATTATTCTTAAAATGCTGTGGTTATTTTGGAAAAACAAACTTGGATATACAGGAAGGATTTTAAATGTTTTAATATGATAGCTTGTTTCCTTCTGCTGATGTTTTCCTATTCTCCTTTTGTATTTTCGGCCAGAAATGTGGGAAAAAAATAATAATAACTCAAACACTTTATAATACATACTAAATTGAAATCTCAAGTAATCCTTCAAATAATTATCTTTTCTGAGTTCTTTTTGGGGTGATTTATGATTAGTATTAAATAAAAGCAAGGAGACAATTAAATACATTTATATATTGTGATGGAAGAAAACCTATACACTGAGCTCACCCCTTCCTAGAATTCTGCATCCAGGGTTAAGTCTAAAGTGTGGTGTTAGTCCCGTATGCCTCACTTTAGATGACCTTCCTGCTCTATACTTTCTCTGCTGTCATCATCATGGAGTAATAAAAAGTACCCTTGTGCGTATCTCTAGGTTAATCAAGTCCTGATGTTTTCCATAAGTCTGAAGAAGCAAAAATGATTTAAGTAGAGTCTGGAAGAAAAAAAGAACTTTCTATCAAAGGACGCTTTTGGACTCATGAGGCAAAAAAAAAAAAAAAAAAAAAATTGGACAAAAATAATATACCTATAAACAAAAGCCAATTTCACTATCATAAGCAAGTAAAATATACATCTGTTTAACTTTTTTATGTCTGATAGTGTACACAGTCTTGCATGATCAAGAACCCGAATTAACTAAACAGATACTGTTAGAAAGTTGTCACATCTAGTGACTATGTTGCAATCTCACAACAGGACTGCTTACCATTGTGCATCATGTGTGGCAATATTATTCCCTCTTTGGCTACCAGGTAGCATGATACTTGAGTAAAGAAAAAAGTAAAAACTCAGGCAAAATAAAAATTGTCTTCAATAAAATAGATCTTACAGAATAGAAATAGCTACTATTAAAATGACTCAAGCAAAAATTTCAAGATGCAATTCATGTTTAAACTGCACTCAAATACCTGGAGGGAATAATATTTATTAACCTCATTTTCGCTATGATTCTTCCTTTTATTAATATCATAACGTGTTGCTGCTGCCTACGCCTTGCATGGTCAGTGGCCTCCTACTTGCTGCTCAGTGGCAGAGTAATTAATGACAGAACTGAATTTTCTGGTGATTCTTCAGAACAAAGAAAACCTACTAATTTACTTCCAGAAAAAAGGCCACCTCCTCAGGTGAAAAAGGATCCAGCATTGAGAAAAGAGGAACTTCAATCTGAGGAGGCTGAAGATGAAATAAAAGAAAATGAAGATAGGGAGCAAAAGAAAAAGATCCGTGGACCTGGAGATGGGGGAAGACTTCCTAATGAGGGGCAGAGCAGAGAGGGGGCAGAGCAGAGACCTGGAGAGGAGAGCAGGCAGGCCCATCAACATGAAAACACAGCAAGGAAGGAAGAGGAGGAGGAGGAGGAAGAGGAGGAGGAGGAGGAGGAAGAGGATGTGTTCAGTGTGCCATCTCGACTCCCAGGCCCTGCTCCTCCCAGAGGTGTGCCACCTCTGCCAAGCAGTTGCGCTCTGTCCTACAGGACCATCAGCTGCAACGGCGCTGACCTCATACAGATACCACCAATAACAGCACCCGAGATAACAAGCCTGGAGCTTGCGGGTAAGAGATGCTGATGTCTGTTTTATTTTGTGCTTTAAAAAGTAAATAGTTCCCATTACTCTACGAATGTTATATTTTAATATAATTATGTAAATGGACTCCAAACAGACTATTTTCACAATCTTCAAACACATAAACTTTGCAGAAGAGGTCGTTGTTTACTACAGAATAATTAGGTATAAAGCAGATTCTTCCACATCAAACCAAGATTTCTCATGACCTTCCTTTTGTTTTTTCTTTGTTGATTTTAGCAAGAGAGGAAGGAAGAGGGAGAGAGAGATAGAAACATCGATGAGAGAGAACATTGATTGGCTGCCTCCTGCCCCACTGGGGATCAGGCCCACAACCTGGGCATGTGCCCTGACTGGGAATTGAACCGGCGACCTCTTGGTGCATGGGTCAATGCTCAACCACTGAACCACACTGGCCAGGCATGACCTTCTTTCTTAGTCAGCTTTACTGAGGTCTAATTTTTATGTAGTAAGACTGATTTTTAGCATGTTATCGAGCTTTGACACATGCATATGGTCAGGTAACCACTGCCACCATCAAGAGACAGCACATTTCCATCACCTCCCCCAATTCCCTCATGCCCTCCTTTCTCGAGCCCTGGCCACCGGGATGTTCTGCCTCCAGTTTGCCTTTTCCAGTATGTCAGAGAAATGGCATCCTTCAGTCCACACCTTTTCCGTGGGGCTTCCTCCCCCTGCTTTTGAGGGCCGTCAGGTTGTTGCATTGCATCAGTACTTTGCCCCCCACACTGCCGAGTGGGTGTTCGGTGAACCACAGGCACCAGCTGGAAGACGTCTGGAGCACTTCCCATGTGGGGTGATTATGTGCACAGTTGTCATGAACATCCACATGCAGATGTTAGTGTGGACCTGCTTTCTTTCCCTAGAGCACACACCCCAGACTAGGACCCCTGAGGGACACAGTCAATGCATGTTTAATGTGATAAGAAACTACTAAACAGTCCCTAGTGGCTGACAGGCCTGCCAGCAGTGTCAGTGAGGCCCCCACTCTGCTCCATCAGCTGTGTTCCCCTCATTTTAGCCATTTCGGTGGACAAAAAATGGTCCAGACTGGTGAGTCATGTTTTTATAGAGCACCTGGAAAGGTCCTGAGTGGAAACAGCACGACTAGGTGTGGGTGTGTGAGGGTGGCTGGCAGGGAGACTGGGCCTATAAACAAGGGGCCCAAGATAGGGGGGAGCTGCAGATGCAGAAGCAACAGAGTCTGAATGGACTTTCAGGCATGTCTTAGGGGAAATCACAGAAATAAACCATCATCAAAATAATAAACGATGATATAAGCACTCAGTAGGAAAAGTCTAGGCCTTTGTTCAGGATGGCCAGTCTGCGGCAGACACCGCTAGTGTCGTAGCCGTCCTGACAGCACGCTCTTGTGACCTCCACAGGAATTCTCTCATTCCCAGACCCCTGCTCCAGCAAGGCCCCTCCTGCGGCGAGTGTGGTGGATGTGCTCTGCCACAAAAAAGCTCAATTTGTGGAAGTCTCGAGGCTATGAAAGACGAATGGCCTGTGCTCAGTCCCACTCTCTAGGTTTTACAAGGTCACTCTGTGGTTTATATGGTCTTCACTCTTTCTGGGAAGCACATTTTCTGAGTTTAAAACCACTACTACATTTAACTAGATGACAAAACAAAACCCCATAAATTTAAGGCATGTGGGAACCCCTACAGAGCCAGAGAAGTAAAACACCCTCTCTGGAGGTGGTCTCAGAGATGAGCCCTGACACTGCTTACTCAGGGCTGACACCAGGCTCAGGAAAAGAAACCGACAGGCCCAAGATTTCATTACTTAATAACAGTCTCATCCTGCCAGCGTGGCTCAGTGGTCAGAGCGCCAGCCCTGCACCGAAGGGTTGTAGGTTTGATTCCTGGTCAAGGGCATGTGTCTGGGCTGCAGGTTTGATCCCCAGCCCAGTCAAGGGGCATGTAGGAGGCAACCAATTGCTGTGTCTCTCTCACATTGATGTTTCTCTCTCTCTCCCACTCTCTGGAGTAAGTATTCTCAGGTGAGGATTAATAACAACAATAGCAACAACAAAAATAGTATCATATTTCTGAACCAGTCTAAGACATGTCAATGGGAAAAGATGAAAAACTATAAAAATCAGTTTCTATACAGCCTTCCAGAAACAATCTTAGTCATAAAATGCATAATGCTAACAGAACTGCTTAACAAACCACGTTCTGGCCTTTTTAAGCAGCTTTATCTAAAACATGATGTACTAGACTGTGACAAGTCCTTAGAGTGAACATTTTGACCATGTGGGCCCAGCTGGTGTGGCTCAGTTGGTTGGGCGTTGTCCCGTGCAGCAAAAGGTTGCTGGTTCGATTCCCGGTTGGGGCACATGCCTGGGATTCGAGCCCAGTCCCTGGTAGGGGGCGTGCAGGAGGCAGTAAAAATATTTTTTAAAAAATCTATGTGAAACAGTTTAGTCCCAGTCTTTGTTATTTTTCTAAATATATATATGCATATATACACACTCTATCCATGCTGTGAGTACTGCTTTCTCCCACAGATAAAACTCTCTTTTTCGCACATGTATGCAGGTGTGTATGTTGCACACGTATGTATGTGTGTAGGTGTGTGTGTTCATATACACACAATACATGTCTGTATTGGCACACAGGTCTAAAACACAACTGCTTCATGTCCTAGGCAATTCCATCACCTCCATTCCGGATGAAGCATTTAATGGATTACTGAATCTGGAAAGGCTTGATTTGAGCAAAAACAATATCACCTCTTCAGGTATAGGACCAAAAGCATTCAAGGTAAACACATGCTCTGATTTGTGAATAACAACCCATTAGGACAGACTTGTACTGGCAGTGGGTGGAGGTGGGAAGGGAGAAGAAGGGAAGTGGCAGTTTCTCCTATGTTATGTAGTTTCTCCCCTGATGCCCCTAAACCGTACTCCACTGCTATGTGCGTCATGCACTTAACGCACCAAACAGCATTGACACAAAAAGTGTGTAGAGCAGTTCCCCTATGTAGCTGAAAATCTGTTGAAACGTCCTCTTGGTACACAAGATGTCCCTGGGAATAAAGGACAGCCCCATCTGCAGTTGGAGCTTCACTGTTTTGCGCCCTGGGCAACACCTGATGAGGCTATGTTAGCAAGATGTTGTTCTGAAGACAATGGACTGAAATGAAAACTGGTGTAGGGACAGATGAGGAACAGAAGGGGGGAGAAGATAAAAAACACCACAGAACAAATTTCTGAAGGACTTAGATCTGTCATTTATTTCTACAAAGGGGAAAAAAGAGAGGGCCAAGGAATCCCAGAGAAAGAAACACAGAAGCAGGAAAGGAGAGGTCTGTGTGTAATAAATACAAACGTGTCTGCTTTGGGAAGCCCCAGGAGAACACTGCATCTGACTAGGTCACACTTCATCCCCTTGGACGGTTTTCTGTCCACCCCTTGGACACACTGCTGGGCTCTCCTGCATGCAGTTCCTGGCCCTCATTCAGACTCTGGGCTGGTGAATGAGGAAGGTCCATATGTTCCCCACAGACTGAGTCCCTGCCTCACACTCACCACCCTTCCGACAGAAAACCTGGGGCTCGTGCGTCTCCTGTGTTTGTTCAAAAAGGAAGAACTTGTAGGAAATTACCTCCTTTCTCGTTTTGGGATTTTCTGTCCCATTCCTGAGCACCCCTGAAGGCCTCTCCTGAGGCCCCGCTGACAGCTGCCCCTGTATGGCGCAGGCAGCCTGGCCAATGAGCATGCCATGGAGACGCACTTCCCACACCGCCCAACCTGCCTGGGAACACACGGCAGGAGCCTGTGATAGTTGTATCACTTCATTTGGAAGAATTTCTATCATAATTAGTGTAATGTTATACTTCTGCTTCTATGTAACGAACATAGAAAACTGAGGTTTACAAACACACTGGAAGGATTCACATTGCTGTCCTAATTTCACATCCATCACAGATTCAATTCATGGCAAAATTTAATTAACTTTGTATCTATTCTGAGAAGGTGAAAACCTACAATCTAGCAAAATATAATCAATCCAGCAAGGACAGGAGCATTCTTTTATTTATGTAGGCCACAATAATGTGGGACACATAAATATGGATGAGTGGGATACAAAATCATCAAATGTGGTTTGCTGAAATGCTTGGGAATAAATACTACTAACAGGATCAACATCTACCTGGCGGGGAGAACATGGGGAATTCCCACCTAAGCCCAAGTAAGTGCCAGTCTGTAATACATAACTACTGCAAACTGGCCATTACATGAGATGTTATTGTACATCTGTGACCAGATGAAAAAGTAATTTGAGATTTGCTTTTTAAGTTTCTGAAGAAGTTAATGCACCTGAATATGGACGAAAACAATCTGGTAGAGATTCCTTCACAACTACCATCTACACTGGAAGAACTTAAAATCAATGACAACAATCTTCAGGCCATTGATGAAGAAAGTTTCTCAGGTACTGAGCATGGGATTATATCCGTGTCCTTATAACCCTTCTCCCGTAGTTGTGTGGGAATATTATTTGCAGTATTTCCAAATGAACAGCCAGTGAGGTTTTTAAAGTCACTTCACCATTTAAATTGATACACCTTATTTTAACATTGACTGGTGAAACGTCTTAAAATGTATTTTAAGCCGCCCATTGCCTTAACAAACACTCTAAATAGAAATAAAACTCTCTGGTTTCAGGATCTCATTGTTTACAGCACAGTAACTAAACTCAACCCCATAACATCCTGAGCCCCAACGACATCAGACGCAACCTTGTGTTCTGGTGCTGTGAGCGCTGCCGGTCCTGGGACCGTGAGCGGGGATATGCTGAGCCATGGCTGGTTGATTGGGTCTCCTGACTCTTAGATGCTTAGTACACTGCAGCCACCACTCCCACTGCTCCACACACTTTGCTATTTTAACTTGCTACATGTTGGCATCTAAGAATTGTGTGTTAAGTGTGTCAGCACGGATGTCAGCACGTGCACCCATGGCAGCCTCTTTGGCTCTGACAGCTGTGCTCCCGAGGCCCGCTCCCGCACTGCGGCCATGGCGCCAAGGGAGGATGCATGTGGGTGCGACTCCCTCACAGCTTGGCTTCCGGGGACGGGCGCTGGTGCCCACATTCCATGCACTGATGCCCCAGAGCTGACTAATCAGCCAGCTGGATACCTGAGGTCGTCACATCATGAACTCTGTATACAGGAGGCAGTGTTACATTTAGCTTTCCATGAATTCCAGCTAATGTCCTTAATTAGATTATATTCTCCTTTAAGACAAAGACTGCTTAATTTTTTTGTTTTATCTTCCTAACAGACAAATGTAGCTCTTGAGTTATAGTGCTGAGATACAGTTTTTTTGTTAATGTTCATAACCCAAGCCATTAAAGGAATAAAACAGTTCAGCTATTTCCTTTTACTCCCAAAAAACTTCATAGGAAGAAAACAGTTCTGATGATGAGGAAAAATAACAGGAATTGCCAAATCCGAGCATTTCAGAGTTATGGAGATACTCTATTTCCAGATGGATTTCAGGGTACACAAGAAAGACATTAATCAATACAAATTTTGATGGGCTTTGTAACATAGAAAAGACATTCGACAATTCAATTTCTAACTGCTAGAAATTAGAACAGACCAAAGAAACACTTACTCCAGAGTAACAGTACTAGGGGCTGTGTGTGAATTACATGTACTGTCCAAAGGCATGTTTCAAACCTGGTCTGTATTTAGAAAATGCTGTCACTCACTCCTGCAGCTGCTTTGCTGCTTGTCCCTCTCGTGAACAAATGTCTCCCCATCTCCAGGGCTCCACTGTGGTCCAGGGTGAGTGGACCTCCTGTGCACGAGGCCAGTGAGGAGACTCTGGCTGCCACCCGGCCTCGAGTCCCTGCATTCCTTGTGGGCTGGCTCTTTTTCTGTGTGGGCTGAATCTGGGGCCCTGTTCCAGTGCCCACTACTCAGGGACTGCATTCTCTCTTGACTGCTGCAGCCACTGAGGCTCCGTGGCTCTGAGTACTGCTGCCCGTGACGTCAGGCGCACTGCCAGTGGGCAGGGTGAGCCTGAGGAAAGGCCACCACAGCTCTGTGACATTGCTCTGTCCTGGTGGGAGCCCCTGGCTTCCTATCAGGCCACTACGCTTCTATTACCTCTCGTGGCAGGTCTACACCTTGACCTTTCATGTTATGTCCAGTTCCAGGAATGTGGGCAAGACAGACACTCAGGGAGAAGCACCATGTGCAGAAGCATGGAGAAAGGAGAGGATCTGGGTGCCACAGGGACACATGTAGTTCCTGTCTGTCAGCCTGGGATGCAGGGGGTGATGGGATGTGAAGAGGGGGTCAAGAATCAGGCCAGGACACTGCACAAGCTGTGCTGAGACCCTGGGAGCTCACCCGGGACTCCCTGAGCTCTGCACACCCACTGGGAGAAAAGGAGTGGAAGAGCAGGAAGCAGGGACAGCAGAAGAAAACCGGGTGTACTTAAAACTGTCTGTCCACATCTGAAGCCTGCCATGCCGGTCCCCTCCCCACAACAGGAATGACTTTCGACCAGCGTTCTGCTGAAAGGTCCTCTTTCTATCCCAAGCCTAACCTACAAGATCTCTTCTTTCTTAACTCGATCTGGTTTCCTGCTACATCCAGTAACACAAAGACCGTGTGTTTCCTACATACACACTATACAAACAAACAAGAGAATAACTGTGAAGTGATTTATAGGATGATGAACTTGAATTGTGTATTGTTTCTTTTTTCTGAGGCCATAACATTACCATTAGTATACTCCTATAATCTGGTTTTGACTGTAAAACTTCTATTCCATTCCCAAATCTGAAATGTATTAGATAAATATGCTATAGTCTCAGGATCTTTGGTTTGAAAATTAAAGAGAATATAAGGAAATATAACCACTTCTTACAGTTTACTGGTTGGCTACCCGAATTCCCCTCTCTCAGCTCTTCAACTGATTCTAAACACCACCAGTTGAGTCCTGTTCACACTCCCACACCAACCAAGTCTACACTGCTGTCTCCTCTGTTACATTCTAGCATCTGTGACCGGTACCCAAGAGAGCACTGTCTTGTTCTCCGATAGGCTTAAGAGTAGACAATGCATTGCATAGAATGTTTAGGGCAACCACCATAACTTGAATTGAATACAGAAACATCCCCTATTCTAGAAATCTTAACCACTGAACAAACACCAAAGTTACACCCTGAATGTGTCTGACTTAGATGCCTCTGGGAATCATTACTACCGAGCTGCTCATTCTATTTTGTAATTTTTAAAAAAATTGTAGACAGTATTACAGATGTCCCCCATTTGCTCCCCATTACTGCCCCCCACCCCACTTCCAGCCCCTGCCCTTTCCCAGGGCTTCACCACACTACTGTCTGTATCATGGGCTATATGCATGCATATATAAGTTCTTTGATTTATCTCTTCCTGCATCTGCACCCCTCTTCCCTCTGAGGTTTAGTCTGTTCCCTACTCCATGACTCTGTGTCTAATTTGTTTGTCAGTTTATTTTGTTCATTAGATTCCACAAAGAAGTGAGATCATATAATATTTGTCTTTCTCTGACTGGTTTATTTCACTTAGCATAATACTCTCCAGGTCCCTCCATGTCATCTCAAAGGGTAAGAGATCTTTATTTCTTACAGCTGCATAGTATTCCATTGTGTAAATGTACCACAGCTTTTTTATCCACTCGTCTATTGATGGACACTTGGGCTGTTTCCAGATCTTAGCAATTATAAATAGTGCTGCTATGAACATAGGGGTATATATATCCTTTCTCATTGGTATTTTGGGATTCTGAAGATATAGTTCCAGAAGTCCTGGCAGTTCGATTTTTAGTTTTTTGAGCAAATACCTATGATTTTTTGAGGAAACATCAGCAGTGTACTAGAATTCCCTTTTCCCCACGTCCCTGCCAGCACTTGTTTGTTGATTTATTGATAACAGCCATTCTGGTAGGTATGAGGTGATACTTCATTGTAGATTTAATTGGCACCTATCTGATGATTAGTGATGTTGAAAAAATTTTCATGTATCTGTTGGCCAATTCTTTTGAGATGTGTCTATTCAGGTAATTGGCTCATTTTTTAATTAGATTGTTTGTCTTCCTTTGTTGAATTGTATGTGGTCTTTGTATATTTTAGAAATTAACCTCTTATCAGATGTATCATTGGTTAATATGTTCTCCCATTCAATGGGTTACCTTTTTATTTTGATGATGGTTTCTTTTGTTGTGCCGAAGCTTTTTAGTTTGATGTAGTCCCCTTTGTTTATTTTTTTTCTTCTCTTACATGAGGTGATGTATTGGTGAAAATTCGGCTAGGTGAGATGTCTGAAATTTTGCTACCTATGTTTTCATCTAGGATTTTTATAGTTTCACAATGTACATTTAAGTCTTTTATACAATTTGAGTTTATTCCTGTTGGTGGTCTAGTTTCATCTTTTTGCATATACCTGTCCAATTTTCCCAGCACCATTTATTGAAGAGACTGTCTTTACTCCATTGTATGTTCTTGCCTCCTTTGTCAAACATTAATTAAATGTAACAGCTTGAGTCAATTTCTGGGGTTTCTGTTATGTTCCTTTGATCTACATGTCTCTTCATGTACCAGTGCCAGGCTGTTTTGATTACAGTAGCTTTGTAGTGTAGTTTGATATCAAGCATTGTCATCCCTCCAACTTTGTTCTTCTTTCTCAAGATTGCTGCAGCTATTCAGGGTCTTTTTGGGCTCCACATAAATTTTTGGAGTATTTGTTCTAGATCTGGGAAATATGCCAAGAATATTTTAATAGGGGTTGCACTGAACCTGTAGATTGCTTTGGGTGGTATGAATATTTTAATGATGTTAATTTTTCCAATCCATGAACATGGTATATGTTTCCACTTGTCTGTATCTTCTATTTCTTTTTTCAATGTCCTGTAGTTTTCTGAGTACAGGTCTTTTACCTCCTTGGTTAAATTTATTCTTGGTATCTCATTTTGTTGTTGTTGTTGCAATGGTAAATGAAATATATTTTTATTTTAGTTTCTTTCTGAGAGTTCTTTATTGGAATATAAAAATGACAATGATTTCTGGATGTTCATTTTGTATCCTGCTACTTTGCCAAATTCATTTATTAAATCTTTAGTTTTTTTTATGGAGTCTATAGGATTTTTCTTTCTGTGTACAATATCTTGTCATTGTGAATAATAAGTTTTACATCCTCCTTTCCAATTTGGATGTCTTTTATTTCTTCTTCTTGTCTGATTGATGTGGCTTGGACTTCTAGTACTATGTTGAAAGTGAACAACCCTGTCTTGTTCCTGTTCGTATGGGAAATGTTTTTAGTTTTTGCCCAATGAATGTGATGTTGGCTAACGATTTGTCTTATATGACCTTTATTATGTTGAGGTATTATGTGATCATCATCCTTCATTTTGTTTATGTAGTGTATCACATTTATT